CCCTGTCTACCTAGCTTCCTTTTGTGTACTCAATAAATACTGTAAGGGTAAATACAAACCTTAAAAAATAAAGTTGAATTTTCTCTGGTGTTAAAAAGAAAAGAAATCCCCATCACACATACCTTCTCTTAGAGCATTTCCTTTAGAAAACTTTTGAATTCTTTGTTTTTCTTTAAATGTATGTAAATATTTTTAAAAGCTAAACAAGCCTGCTATCAGTTTAACAACCTAGGAGCCATCTCTAAATGTAAACATCAGGAAGATAGCGCAGTGAGAGCTTAAAGTGGGCATCTGGCTCCAGTCAGCCTGTCTTGGGAATTTGAAATTTTCATGCTTCTTCTACATCATTGCAACTAGCAAACACAGGTGGTCACCACATTTCCAAGTGAGTTTAGGGTGAACTACGTGTGAGACATGGTGCCACCAGGTCCTCTTTTCCTGAGGAACAGTTATTTTTGTCCTGGCAACATGGATTGACAGGGTGTATCTGCCTGGTTATACTGAAGGGTGAGATGTCTTTACATTCTTTAGCTGACTCCCTGATGCACACCACATTTTGGTTAAATGCTTATTCAATAATAAAACTGCCTTCTATGTTTATGGAGAGGTTTTCTGTGTAAAGAGATTTTGTTTTCAATTTTATTTCTCCACTGTTAGGGTTTGGCCAATGATGCGGGCTGTGAAAGAATTCACAACTGAAAGAGGAGATGCAGAGAGGAAGTTTATTTCACTTTCCAAGAGAGGAAAGGGCTGGTGTATCGCTAGTCAGTACAGGGCAGGAACAGAAAGCAGCTTCCACTTTTAAAGAGTAGTGGCTGCTGTTGCTAGGTGACATGGAAGTGCCTGGTTCTTGTCCCAGCATCTAGAAGGGTACAGGAATCTGGAGAAGGCTGTGCGTAGACGTTAAATAGGAAGCCAGAGACTAATAAAGAGTCTGGAGACGAGATATAATTTTGAAAGGCATTTGGGGGTCAGAGGAGCTTAGCTAAAGGAGCTAAGTTCTAAGATCTTAAGTCTAAGGTCTTATCAGTGATGGCGAACCTGTGACACGCATG